CTTATACACAGCCCTTGCGTACCAGACATTTACAGCTAGAATAGTCATTTACCACATTAGCAATGTACAGAGTGTGTTTCTTTAAAGTTAAGACTAGTTTAAAGTTACCTTCATTGAAAAGTACGGCGCTTTTCCTTCAAAAATAAGGACATTTCACTGCAAAAAACATCTAGAAATAAGTGAAAAATGTCTTGAATCAAGTGTATTTACCCTTAATTTGAGCAGGTAAATAAGATGACCTGCTAATGGAATTAGTATTTTTACTCCTAAAATGAGATAATTAGCTAATATATGCTTGAATTAAGACAAAACTAAAGTTTTTTTCTTATTTTAAATGTAAATTGTCTCCTTCCATTGGCAAAGTGTCACACTTACCTCCTCAATTCAAGAAAAAATGCACTAAATTTGAGCAAAAATAACTTATTTAGATGAGATGTTATCTCGTAATGCAATACGCTTCTGTATTTATCAGCTCAAAACAAAGAAAAAAAGAGGTTATTTAATAAAAACCGACAGATTGATTTTTTGCAGTGTTGTGACTGCAGGTGTTCTCAGAGGATTAGAAATGGCTGATGGGGAGCTGAGGGACTGGGGGCCTGGAGAGACCATCTCAGTCTGAAAACCAGCAGCAGGAAGCCTCCTGTTGACGTCTAAGGAGAACTGGTCTAAGATGTCCGTACTTCTTTCTCCACCCTCACCAGACGGCCTGGAGGGGAAATGGAGGCGACCCAAATGAAAAGATTTCTTTTAAAAAATAACTTTGTCTAGAAGTCGATGGGATTGTAAAAAATAGAATAAAATAAAATCCCACCTCAGAGTCTTTAAATCAGAGTCAACTTCAGGGTTTAAGTGAAACAACGTCCCTCAGAGCGAATCAGGTGAGATGACCTACTGCCTGCAGGAATGTGAGGAATTCCTGCGCTCTCTGGGTCCACGTTCCCGGGAAGCGGCGTCACCCGGACTGGTGGGGTTATTCCATTTGATCTGCTGAGTTTGGGGCTTTTAATAGAGCGCTGTGTAATCTGTCCGCAATGCATTAATCATCACTTCCTCTGGTTCTGGAACACCGGTTCTGAAACCCGGTTTGGTCTAATATGGTGAAAATCACACAAATAAAAGCTGCTGCCGGCAGCCATACGATGACATCACCGCACGTCTCTGCTCTCACTGGATGGAAGAAAGAGCCTGAAGGACATGAAGCCTGCGGCGTTCACCTGATGGTGATGATGCTGAAAGGAGCAGGTTGGTTTACGGCTTGTGGTCAAACATTTCTGAGTGTTAACCCAACGCCAGGCAGGAAAGACATCAGCAATGATGGGAGGAAGCAGTCAGAGGTCATAAGGTCGATCAGGAAGATTCTGTTTTCTGTTAACATTAAAATCCACTGATAAATATTTCTATTTGGTCAACAACTCAAAGTATTTTAAGCTTATTATGATAGCCTAAATCATTATAAACTTTATAATTGTCTAAGTAAACATTACGGTTAGATTGAGGGGTTTTTTTAAACAGAAAGGCCTTTAACAGACCACTGCCGAGTTGAAGGGATTCAATTCTTTTAAATGTATTTCTATAGCTCCAATTCACATCAAGTCATCTCAGGTCACTTTAAAGAGACATT